TTGGTGTCGTCAGGGAGCACCAACACTGGCGCTGACGCCAGGCTTTTCTTCATTGCGTCAAAGGCAGCTTGATGCTCGGGACGCCACGACCACGTGGCGTCTTTCTTCAGAAGTGACGACAGAGGCTTAATAGGACCGGCGTAATCCTTTGTGTACTTATGCAAGTAATTAGCTAGACCGAGCCATTGACGCAACTCCGTAGGATCCTTGGGAGTGGGCCAGGAACAGATTGACGACACCTTCTCTGGGTCGGCTCTAACTCCCGATTTAATCACGTAGCAACCCAGCACCGGAATCTCCTGTGCACAGAATACACACTTCTTCAAATTTGCATATAAATGGTTATCCCGCATGACTTGAAACACCAGATTTAGGTGTTGAAGATGATCTTGGACAGCACTGAGGTTGCCCTCAGCGCGACTGTGGAAAAATGTCATCGAAAGTAGCTAGGAGCAAGGTCTCGAAGCGGTCTCAACACTTGATATACCATGCGATTGAAAGTGGCTGGTGCGTTCTTCAATCCTTGTGGCATCACCAGCCACTCCCATAGCATACCAATCGGGGTGCTCACCGCAGTGAGTGGTATGTCACTCTGTCGCATCAAGATCTGGTAGAAGCCATCGGTAAGATCGATGGCGCTGAAGATGACGCTACTTGACATGGAGTTTAGAACCATGTCTTTCCTGGGGATAGGCGTTTGGACAGGAATAGTGGCATCGTTGAGCTTGTTAAACGCATGCACTATACGCCAGCCTACCGTAGCCTTCTTCACGAAGAAGGTTGGAATCGAATGGGGTGAGACACTCTCACGCACATGACCAGCCTTGTGACGACCTCCAAAAAAAGCATCAATAGCCCTGACTTGGTCTCGAGGCAACGGCCACTGGCGTGTTACAAATATTTCGATCCTGGCACGAGATCAATCTCGTGCCGCACGCCACGATTGGCAGGGAGTTCAGCCGGAATCTTGTCCGGGAACACGTCTGCGTATTCTAGAGCAATGTCGTAGACAGGGTTACCAGACTCGCGCAGAGCCTTTCAAGATTGCGACGCAAATCTTTCTTCGCGCGCTGACTTTTGTTCAGCGCTTTGAGGGCGTGTCATTCGCTTCTCATTCGGCTTATAGGTCACCTTGTTGGTGATCAGAAATACTTGTTCCACCGTGCCTTCATTGAGGTCGCGTAGAAAATGCTTCCAGGAGAGTACCGGAAGGCTCGTAATCGACGACGCATCGCGAGGTGGACTCGCGACCTCAATGTATTGGCGCCTTTGTGGACTCCCGACCACGTACACGATAGCGTGGACACACTCCAACGCTGAGTTCCCGTAGCTTGCGTCCCCATCGTGCTTCGAATCCATGCCCGAAGCTGTCGAACCGCAGTCAGGTGTTAAATCTCTACCCCCTCTTGACGCTGGATGTCCTCATACATGACGTCGAAAGCGCGCGACGAGAGGAGCCCATACTCGTCCGTCGACGCATGATGCGGTAGCCCCTGCTCGAACACGTCTTGCTCGTGTGGGAAACTCTGTTCGACCACAGTGGGCGATGATTGGAACCTCTGTTCGACCATCATGTTCGCACGTGGAGACCTAGGTCCATCCACGTTACACGCGGTGGCGAGCCTCTGCTCGGCCACATCTTGCCTTGTGGGAGCCTCTGCTCGACCACAATGGGTGCAGGTGAGAACACCTTTTCTACCACTACTCTCTCGTGCGGGAACCTCTGTTCGACCGCGTCGTCTTCGCGCGGGAGCCTCTGATCGTCCGCGTCTTCATTACGCGGGAGCCACTGCTCGTCCACGTCGGACTCCTCGCTGCAAAGCGAGGAGACATCTTCACTTGTGCGTAGGAGCACGGAACAAGCGGTACAGAGAGGGCCATCGCTCACTCTGTGCACCGCTGGTGTCGTGGATGTACGATCCACGACTGTAACGTTCAGCCAATCACTTGGAGACACCAAGAGATGAGTGAACACTTCGCTGACGTCGAACTTACTTCGACGTCTCACTGGTCTGGCTAATTAGTCGATCTGGGGCTTATAGCGTGCCAACCATGGCATGCCCAGGATGCAATCGAATGCATAATTTATATTAATTACCAAGAAATTGTTGTTACTGCGAAAGCCGTCAAAAGTGTACGGCAACGACACTTCGCGCCGCGATACGCGGCGTGGTTTCTAGTCAGCGAGCTTGACAACAACTTGGCTAGGTCCCTCGTGGACCTGGATGCTGGGTGGCAGCATTGACACGCAAGATTCACGGAAGAATTTTTTTGTCGCTCATGAATCCAGGAGCGCTCGTAGAGGTCGCCGGATACCGGTAACATGAAGATTAACAATAATCAGTCGTGAATCACTAATCGTAGTAGTGGCATTTGACCGTGCACGCAGCACTGATGGGCTGGGAGGTCGGGCTGCCACCGGTGGACCCGGAACTCTCTTCAAACCAGTAGGGCGCCCTGCACCTACTGGTCTCGTCCTTTTTTTGGACGAGTGAGCGGAGTACCTTCCTCATGATGGGTGTCCGTCGCATGCACCGAAATCGGTGCTGGCGCGCGGCATTCAGCCGCGCGATGTCCCGGCTTTCGACATCGAAAGCAGATCGTCTCACGTCTGCTACGGGTGTCGCCCTTGTAGGACGTAACACGTCGTCGGTCTCCCGACGACTCAATTGCGTCAATTTCCATAGGTTCCGGGCCCGCTGATCTGACAGCGGTAACAACTGAAAGCTTGGTATAGGCCTTGGTGAATCTGAAGTCCTCATGGAGGGCGATAGCGAAAGCCTCCTTCAACGTGGTAGGCTCCGCGCGTTCCAGCGATAGGCGAGTCTGCCCTTTACGCATGCTATCGACAAACACGTTCACTTGTGTGTACATGTCCATGGGATGCGTGACAATGCACGACGCCAGATGTCGAGCCATCTGCACATAGTCGCGCATCGACATTTTACCCTGTCTCAAGGACAGGAACCTTGAACGCACCAACTTCTCTTCTTGTGGCGGCTAGAAGGCGATTCGAAGGTCACTCTGGATGGCCTCCAGATTGGGAACGCATACTCGTCCACAACGAGATTACTCAAAGCTCACTCCTTGGATTTCCCAATGAGACGGGAGAGAAGGAGATTGACCTTCGCTTGAGGAGCCTCGAGAAGTCTCGAGGCGATAGCGATGTCAACCTCACGAAAATAACGCGACAGCGACAAACGTTTTTTGCCTTCGCCAGAGTAGACGGAGGTCTCCATTTTCACGGCATCGTTCCGTGAAGTCCGCGAGGGAATTAAACATCGCCGATTGGATTCGGCGAGCTCGCGAGCCATGAAGTCGTGTATGGCGAGACGCTGTCCTTCAGGAGTCGCTGAATTCATCAGCGACACAACGAATGCCTCTCCAGATATCGCCGCGAGGCGATTTAGGGCATCCCACTTACCACCAGTGAGATGGGGAAAAGTCGCGTGCCCCAGACTCACGTCTGGAGCGTCAAAGTAAGACGAATCGCTCATCCCGAACTCGGGCATGGAAGGACTACTAAGTGCTACCAGGTGTAACGAGGCTGGAACAACCCGTACTTAGCTTACAATATATTCAACGCTTTGAGGAAGCTCAAAGCCCAAGTCTTAGGTGCTTAGTATTTTTAACTCTGTTTTATATTTTGTCTTTTAATCATCCTAAGTACGAATGCTTCCCTTGACTCATGGGAACCACTCAATCTACGTGCCTATATCTTACTGGCTAATAATGTTATTGAGACCATTAAACCAGCTAATATATACGACGTGCTACTTTCGCTACTTCAAAAGTAGCACTCCTTTTTGAGTAACATGTAAACTAAATCGAAACTATTTATGTATCGGGGTGGCCCATTACACAAGAGCTTACGGTCCCTGTTCCAATGGGGACCAAACGATTCAAAAGAGTCACAGCACAGAGTGCTCAAGAACAAGCTACCTTCTCAGGCGTTGCTTAGTCCTTACGATCAAAACGCCTCATGAGGAACGTGTCTCTTACTGATCAAAAGGGGAACTGAACTGTATTTCTTCTTTTGACCTAAAAGAACATTTTAGAACAACGTACTTAACCTACTCGCTAATGTTTTATCAAAACCAATTAAAAGATCTCGTAATCAATGGTTGACAGACATCAGTCTTCAACAATTGATACACCTATTGCGTTCTATTATCATTTTACAGGGGACCCCATCTCTTGTGTGCACCACACCAATTGTCGACGATCAGCCGACGTGTAAACCCGTTACAAGGAGAGTTGGAAATGCTGGAAATGGGTGCGAGTGCACGAAAAGGCGATCGGAGTGGTCGGCCGGTGACTTGGGGTTTATTTGGGACCATGATGTCATAAGCTCGCTGTGTGCAAAAGGTGAGCGCAGAGTGACAAGCAGAATAACGGTTGTATTCAGGTAGAGTCAGAATGCGTGCGAGACCGATGACTGGGGTAGAGGGCTTTGGCGAGCACGGCAGAGAAGAGAGAACTAGGAAGAAGGAATACAGAATCTTATTGCTTACCTACCGCTTCCTTCTCGCAACGCGCATCTTGCCTACAGTCGACGCGCCGCTTTCAGGCTTGGGTCTATTGCGTGCGTGACTGTCGAACACGAACGATGACTACCTTGTAGTCACAAGGCGCGTGCTGGCGACTGAAAGCAGTGTGTTGAAGCGCACGCGTGCAACCTCAGCAGCCAGTGAGGACCTTTTGCCACGGATCTTCGTGCAACTTATTCATCGCGCGAGACCAGCTGGGGTCGAGGCGCATCGTCTGCGCGCACTTGTCCTGTCTCTGGCACATTGTGAAAAATTAATCGAAGCCAAAAGAGCAGTTGCTGCCCAGAAAGTTCTCAGCAGAGCCCCATCTGGCTCCACTCTGCGACATTTCTGGAATCACTCCAGATGATAGGCTGAGGAGACTGAACTGATGGGTTATCTGCGACGCGGCGCGTGTCAACCGCCACTCCACACATCTCGACAAGTGCGCGTGCACAAGTCGCACGTAACATGGTATCTGCATTGACGGACTCCATTGAGGCCGAGTCGGAGGCGAAGGACGTGCTGGTTGAATGCCCTTCCACTCACTCGGACCATGACGACCGCGCTGCGCGTTGCGTGGAGAGAACAGCGCGACGTTGTCGGGTGCGGTCGTGGTATGCGCACATGGTACTGATCCACCTGTCCGAGTTTGGGGCGGAGGCAGCGCGCGGTCTCGTCTTGCCCACGCTGTTCACGTACGTCCAGGAACTCGGGGGCGGACTAGAGGACGTCGGTCTGCTCACTGCACTCTTTAGTGTCGGAAGGTTCTTCTCGTCGCTGTTGTTTGGTTGGCTCTGTGATCGCACGTCGTTTCGAGTGCTTTACAACGTCGCGGGCGCGAGCGCTGTGCTGGGCAACTTGATGTATGTGCTGCCATACAGTCCATCTGTGCGCAGCAGGACGTTGCTCGCGGTCAGTCGACTGGTGATTGGGTTTGGCGCTGGCAATCGAAGTGTCTGTCGGGCGAACATTGCAATGCTCACGCGCGTAGACCAGAGGCTGGAGTTCTTTACGCTGTTTGCCACGGTCGTCTTCCTCGCGTATGCGCTGACTCCCGGACTCGGGAGCGTCATGGGCAACACGGAGATTGAGATCGCTACTGACTTGCTGCAGTTCAACCGGATCACTGCTCCAGGGTTTCTGCTTGTGGCGCTCAACCTGTTTACGATACTCGTCAACAACCTCATTTTCGACGACTCGATCTCGCGCGACGACGCTCCAGGATCGCCAACGTCCGTCGTGTGTGCACCGTCAGACGGCACGCAATCGACCGCAAAGGGGCTGACAATTATTGTCGACAAGCCGGAGAAGTCCACCGAGATGAAAGCCACACAAGACGTGACGTCGATGTTATCGGAACGAGCGGTGACCGTGGGCATGCTGGTGTTTATCTTCTTGAACTTCATCACGCGCGGGATCCTGTCGATTTTCGAGACTGTGAACGTGCCGCTGTTTCTACAAATGACGAATCGAAACACTCTCCAGGAACAAAACTCAGTCGAAGCGACACGGGCCGCGTCTACTTTCTATCTCGTCATTGGACTCTTGGGCCTCATCTCGTACGGCTCGGTGCACGTCTTGCGAAGAAAAGTCGCGGATACGGCCTTCCTGCTCTTTGGCTTTGCCATGCTGCTCGTGGGCAACGCCATTTTGCTCACCGTGTGCGCCGACATGCACGTGAACAACGAGCAAAGCGGTGACGTCGACAAAGACCACTCTGCGCAGCAATTCGACATCTTTGTGACTGCCGAGTCGTTTGTTTGGAGCGTTGGCTGTCCACTTACATCGGCCGTGGTCGTGTCAGCGTTTTCCAAAGTCCTGGGCTCACGACCCCAAGGTTTGCTCATGGGGGTATTTGGTGCGTCCGCGTCGGTGGCTCGCATGGTCTTGCCGTTTCTGCCGAGTCTGCTGGCATCGTGGCCTCTGCTCTTTCTCGTCAACATGGTGCTCTGTGCGACCTGCATTCTTGTGCTGTCGTTGTACCTCGGCTTTATCTCGAGCCAGGGTCGCAAGACGGACGGTAGATGTGCGGTCACGTACCACAGCGTGCAGCTTCACTCTGACGGCCGGGAAGCTGCTTGAGCAAGCCTGTCAGTCATCCGTGACGCCGTGGTCCAGTCGGGACACTCTGGTGTTGACACGTTTGCAGTCGAGTCGGAAGACACACAGACCCGCAGGCGTTCGATGTCATCAAATGTGGTTTTCGTCCTCTTGTGACGACAGACAGCTCGAGTGCATCGACTCGGGATCCCCTATCACCGCGAGGAATTTGCTGTAGTTGCTGTAGTTGCTGCCACAGAGTGTTTCGTTACCCGCGTGGACGCCACAACATGTGTCTACTTGCAGCGTGAGCTTACGCTCGGCCGAGACAGAATGGAAGATCGTATCGATTGTTTAGCAAATATGTAGCCAAGTGTTCGTCAACCTCTGCACCAGGCGCCAGGACCTTCTTCCTCTTGCAGTACGTTAGGCCATATTGAATCAACCGAATCGGCCGACGCTAAAGTTGGCCGCTAGTGCACAACGTGGCCCGCTCGACGACATTGACTAAAGGTCACGTTTTGATACGAACGTGATCTCGGCGGACCTTTCGACAGTATTACGTTTCCCACTGCAATGTTGCAAGCACGTTACTTCTGGAGATAGTGTCGAGTGAGCAGTTCATAACACTTTACCAGTTGGCTGATATCGCCCATGACATCAGCCAGCAAATCAAATAATTGAGGAAGAAAGAACGAGCGCAATGTGTGGGAAGCTAGTCACCTGTCGACATACATATTTGTCATTGTATAAATACATATTTGCCACTGTTTACAGGTCACGTAGTGTCGACTTTGATGTATAATTAAAATAGATGAACGAGATTCATCAAATAGTGTCTAGGCTTCTGTTTTTGCACTCCGCACATGTCATCAATTCGAAAAAAGCATTTCTAAGAGTGAAGGGCATCCAATTCGTGGAGGGCATCTAATATGTAATGCAGAACTCGATCGGTATATACGCAGAGCTGAAATGATCGTCGGGATAGTGAACACTTTTCTAGACCTGTCGCAATTCTAGCCGTTCACCGAACACGTGGTCGGATCCGTCGATAGCCTTTACAGCCTACTTCGTACAACACAACACGTCATCCTCACACCATAAGCATTGACGGGTTCATCTTTTATATCCTCATTTCAGCATCTGAAAACGCGGTCCTTCCTAGACCAAACAGCGATACCCAAATATGGCTGGGGGAAAGTGTAACGGAGATACACTGTGAGTAGTACATTTGTAGGCTAGCACGAGTACCCTGTGATGTACCACTCATTAAAAGTAGTGTCGCTTCAGCCACCGATGGTAAGCTTCACGTTTTGCTCTAGTAGGTGGTAAAAGCTTACATTGTATGAAATGCGCAGGACTTATCCCGTGTTAAGGATTTAATAACATCAGTTCGCATTTTGATCTGTACGGGTCATGTGTCTTGTTAAGACGTCTTTGGTCACTAGAGTGAGAAGGCTTATCAAGGCATATACTCTTCAGCACTTGATGCTGTTGATTCCCTGAACGGTATTAGTCCCTTGAACCAGGACTAGAAGACCACTGAGCCAGACATACTTGCTGGGGCGTGATCTTGTAAAAAACGAAGTATCTCGTTGAGCTGTAAGTCTTCCTCTGACAAAGAATCGTATATAGCTCCGCTACAAAGGGTGTCTTAATCGTTTTCGACTATCTTTTGATGGTCAGCATACCGGATCATTTGTCTTAATTACAGAATTGATTTTATACACCTTTTTCTTCTCTTCTCGAAAGAAAAGAGTTCTGTTTCCAACCTAGCATCACGAGGTTTGACTAACTATGATCTCTGATCGCTCTGCCTTGATGATCACGATACCAAGATCAGTATGCTACAAGACCCGTAAATGCGGGAGATGTACGATCTGTCAGACAAGAAACCTCGACGCAGAGTCGGTTCTCGGACCGCCGGTAGTTCTAACAGTAAATAGGGTATAATAATATTGAAAAGTTATTATTTCAGCATATCGTTACAAACTTAAGTGCTTACATCGTTGTAAACGCGTGGCCAAGAGGGCTTACAAAGGAATGGATCGCGTGATCGGCTAGGTCCAAATAGACGTTGATTGATGGAGAATGGCCTATCAACGTATTGCGACTGCTGTATTGCATGCGATAATTGATAAGTCGGATGATCCTCCTTAAAGTCGAGGTGTAAACCATACCTGGTACAGTAAGAATGTGAAGATATTCAATCCGAGGTCGCAATCCACGATCCGCGATCTGCAATCTGCAACCGAATCCGAATGGTAGAGCTTATGGAACATGTTTACATTACGCAATCGACGATTAAAATAAGCTAATCGTCACAAAGATAAGGAGCGCGTCAAAGATATGGAGCATGGAAAAAGTAGAGGAGAACATGTTAAGGATGGTGGGAATATCGGTTGTCACACGATCCGATTGTAAGACCAGTCTCGGTAGCTAGCACGACCGCCACCTATCGTTGGCGCGTATCACACACCGCGATCCGCTCTAGAGATCCATAATCGATCTATGTTTTGGTGTGTATCACACACAGGGATCCGTGATCAAGAACCCGATCGACATCCATTTGGACTCGTGACTGAGACTGACGACATTGTAGTACACGGGGACAATCTTTGTAGAAAGAATAAACTTGGCAGCAAATACAGAGATATAGAAATATATAGTAGTAGTTTTGTTTGATGGGTAAAACATTTTAAGCGTTCAATTTACTTCTTTGGATCACCGTAATGACTTCTTTCATGGCAGAAATACGTTGGCATCGTAAAGCCTCACGAATATTGCCTTACGCCCTTCAAGACTTTTTCCGAAATGGTTTGACCAGACGTATCATCACCAATAAAGACAACCCCCATTACGATCGAACGCAGTGAAATTTTAGTGTTTCGGATACAAGATCGCGAGTTGGTTCAATTGGTCAGAAGTTATGTGGGTAAAAGATCAACTATTTAGAATTATTGGACAAAATGGTCTATACGAGATAGAACGTCTCTATCGAATATTCCTCCAAGAATCAACGAGATACAGCGAAGATTTTCGTTCGATGCAGTCTACGTTCCATCCCTAAGCAAACTAAGCTTAACTTTGACTTACGTTCATGGAGAAGAGTCAAACCCACCTTGCTGGCGGGTACACAAGATGATGAAGGCTTTGCACACGGAAAAGAAGCACACCCTTCACTAGTCGATCGACTGGTCGCCAGTGAGGAGTCGAGATCACATCGCCATTTTTTATAAATCTTTCTCCATCACATCATTGTTCTCCACGATAGGTAACAAAGAAGACACGCATCAAGATAACAAACAAAATATACTTCAGAGACCACGTGCACGAACTGCAACTTCAGTAGATTTTCAACATGTACATTCTTACGTATCTCTGTGGTGAAGCGCTATTTGGAAGATGGGATACCAGGCGACCGACGAGAAGATAGATAGGGTGACGTACACCAGAAAAAAGTCCAAGGGGAAAAGGGGTATTTGGAGGCCAAAGAATTGGTAGAGGAGAAAAAATGACGGGATCAAGTAACGGGATGATCGTGGCAAGTTATTAATTAAGTTGTACTGATAGGAATGGATTTCGGGTCCCTTTAGTGGAGACCGTATGTGTGCTTGAGCCATACCAAACGTTCAATATAAGCCAAATTTTGAGCACGATTTGGGCGCCCGAGATAATGATGCCGAAACACAGGTGATTCTGTGATGGAACACAGTCGTGAACAATTTTCGGTAGATGAGTGTCGTAGCGTGTGGTTACACATAAAAAAAGCGATTTCAAAAAATGAAACTGCTTGAGCTGCGAATTGATCGAAATGTCGCGATATGCGGCCCGAAGCTTAAGCAGACCCTCGATTTAATCAACCGTAGCTTTGTTACATGCAACACCAGGTCCAACAAACACAAATACTGCAAATGTGGTGGACCGGACTATATAAATTTAATGATGTGATCTCGCCTCCCCACTGGCGCCCAGATGAACGACTATCGGAGGGAGTACTCCGTTTCCGTGCTTCATTCCTACCTCAACTTGTGTACCCGTCGGTAAGGCGGGCTGCAACCTGCTTGGTATACTAGTGTTGATACCAGACTTGACCGTGTTTGGGACGGGGATGATCGCGTGGAAGTATTCACGCGATCACAGGTTACTTGTAAGTACTCGATATGAGCTGCCTATGTCTCGACGAGATCGCCTCGTCCAATACGTAGATCTTGATGTGTTTGACCTTCTGACCACCTGCGCCGTCTCTCGATCTTGATCACCCAATATTTCTTGCTGCGCCCCATTGCAGTTGTCTTGATGTTTCTGAGAGTCCTGGACACACCTAGCCAAACGATCCAAGTTCGATGCTTGTATAGACTACAAGCGTAAATCTTGACGTCTCGGCAGGCCATATATCCATCCCAAAGAGATGACGCGTTTCTGTTTGAAGTACATTGAGCTTTGATTAATGCTAGCGAAACATCTCACAAAACACACGACCTAGCCTAACTATGTATAAGGCGCTTGCCCGCGTCGTCCAGCGAATCAATTTGTCTCTTGTACATCGTAGGCTCCTTAATATATTCCCTACCCCTGACTCAGATTATGGTGTGAGCTTTGATAGGATCCCCTCTCAGGTAGGATACTTCTCAGATCGGATCCTTGTTGGATCGGGTACCCTCTTGGATCCAAGATACCCTCTTAGATCGGATACACCCTTGCATTGGAACCGATTGTCGTGGTCCACCCATCCATACTTTGCACCTAGCACGGGTACCAGAGTCGCCCTTCTTCCGCGCATTATTCGCCCCATTCTTCAATCCGCTTTTCTACAACCGGCCACTGTACGTTGAGATGGCGGGCAGCGTCAGTCAAGCTGTAAATCGTCTTTGTAGGCACGGTAATTCATGGTTCCTTCTCAATTCCTTTGTTTCCATAGACATTTATAACGGAGTCATCCATCCTGACTGTATCGGCTGATTCCGTCGCGCCAACTATTCAAACAGATTCGCCATCCTCTACCTCGACGGTGCCATTAGACTAGCACCACATGAGTGGAT